TTAGAGTGGATTGGTGGGGAAGAGATGCAAGTCGAAAGACGATGAAGTCAAACGTTACAGGGAAAAAGCATGCATTTCTGCTGTTTGGGAAAGGCCAAATGTTCACAGGCTGACGTCCCGTTGATCCCCACCGTCTCCAAATGGGCCAGGAAAGAATTCTGCATGAAATCCAGGACAGCCGTCACTGACAGCCAGTGGTCGCCACGGCGGGCCAGGTGCAGCAGGGTGGGGACTGGTAGAATTCTCCTTCGGAGGGGCTCCCTGAAACATCTACCCATTCCAGAGATGCTGCTAGGTCCTTGGAAGGGCCCACAGGAAGACAAATCTACATAAAATGTGCATGCATGCAAACCTAGAAATAATTACCATATTTATTTCAATTTCACAGAAGGCAAAGGTGGCCAATTAATTTCCCATCCAAGTAATTGTTAAAATATATGATCTGGCCAGGGCAACTTCTTCTTCCTTCTCTTTTCTCCTCCTATATTCTTTATTTACTTATTTTATACTGTTAATTTTAATTTTATATTATTTTGTTTGTATCTCAGTGTATTTTTTGTATTTAGTGGTAATTTATTAGGTTCAATTGTATTTCAATGTATTTTATTGTGTTGTAAGCCGCCTCGAGGCTTTGGCAAGAGGCGGCATAGAAATGTTAATAATAATAATAATAATAATAATAATAATAATAATAATACTGAGCAAAATAATCTATTCTATCAATTTGTCCCCCACCAGATCCTTCTCTTCAATTGGAGTCGATTTGCAATCTCTCTTGTTCCTGGAAAAAGTGCTCTCCACTCCAGGCAGTTAAACTTAGAAGAAAAGCTTCTATTGACCTCACTGCAAGGTTTTTCCCCTAATCTCAACTGCCTTGGGGTAGATTGTGCAGAATGAGATCCAACATGTGGGACAGGGAAGGTTAACCCTTTCCTCCCTGGCTGTAATCCTCTTTGAAAATTGCCTCCTGTGTAGCGGATGAATTTTACATTCCCATCTGTGGATATTCAGGGTGGTAGCTAATAAATCCAGGAAGGAGACCCAGGCCTATCAGATGCATCGCAAGCATGTTGTAAATTGCAAAGCATGCATTTTTTGGGGCAAGATATGTTACAAAAGCTGAACGCTGCGACCATCACTTAACTGAGAAATAGCTAAGGCAAGATAAAGAAAAGGTCATTCAACGCAAGATGCATGGCAGAGAATGAAAAAACTCAGGTGCCTTGGGAATCTGTGGGATTCTTTCATCGTTGCACATGGGTATTGTGTTCTGCAGTAATGGACGCCTGCCACATTTGTGGAGGTCTTTCGTGGTTTCAAATGGCTCTGGTGCTTTACTGCTATTTTAAAAGTCTTGCATGATGCTGTCCTCTCGTGTGTGTGTGTGTGTGTGTGTGTGTGTGTGTGTGTGTGTGTGAGAGAGAGAGAGAGAGAGAGAGAGAGAGAGAGGGGGAGAGAGAGAGAGACAGACAGACAGACAGACAGACATGCATGCATTTTCCTATTCCACCCCTTTCCAGTTCAGGGGCCAGTCCGTATTCTCAGTCCTCCACCCCAACAAGTTCAGTCCCATTGTGGGAGAAAGGAGTCCCCGCTCCCCAAGACTTTCTGCACTGTGTCAGCAGTGAAAATAATTCACCCAAAGAGAGTCCGCCAGGAGCGTACAATCAAGAGAACATCTGCAGTTTATTCAGACGTAATGGAAGCACAAGCGCATGTAGGCAGCCCTGGAAGGAAATACCAAGATGGAGTCTGTACAAGAAGCTTTTATAACCTCCCCACCCCTCATCCAGGTTGGGCGAGGAGTGGGTCATCCCTATGCTAGAGGCACATTAGGATGAAACAGAAGGGGTGGATTGGGGCTGGGACAAGACAATGCAGAGGTGACCTTCAGGACAGGTAACTCTTAGCATCTCTGTGGTGCAGCTGGGGGCAAGACTTGCCACATGGATTCCCGATTTGATCCGGAATCCCATCTTAAGTCTAAAGCTGTTCTTACAATGTCAGGCTGTTAGCAGCCATATTGTGGCAAAGTTTTGGCTTCTGTCAACTGCAAACTGTTTTTTTTTTCTCTCTCTCTCTCACCTGTTGATCTGCGTGTATTTTAGGATATATCTCCTGCTCCTTCCATCTGACCCTCTCCCTGCCATGGTGGCCCTGAAAACTCCCTTCTGGCCTTGGAGCTCAGCAAAGATAGAAAGAACCACAGCGGCTGCAAGGATTTTTCTAGACTGAGACTGGGATTCTGATTCAAAATGGCTGCCGGGGGGGGGGGGGGCGACATGGAAAAGGACAGAAAGCCAGGTCAAAATGAATAAAAATGCTGAAATAAAATCTGTGAGATCTATTGGCTTTAGGTTGTGTTCTGTGATTTGATGGATCTTTAAAGAAACTGTATGTGAAACAACCAGACTAAACAACTCTGTTGAAACCTCAGCTTTCGGCACCAACAGAAACCAGCAATTTCAGTAAGAATACGCTTTTGTTGGTTTGTGTTTTTTAAAGAAGAGAAAACAGGTACGAAGAAAGAAAGGTGCCAAGGGCCCCTACTCTGGTCTGCAATAAATTGTCTTGAATGCACAGCTTCTGGTACCTGAGGGAAAGAAAAATGATAAAAATAATTATATTTATTTGTAGAATGTCTCAATGTCCTTGATACACACGATATCCGTAAGCCTTACAATAATTCAGTAACGCAAACCATCATTACCTCCATACTGCAGCTATGGAGAAGGTCTGAAAAAGAGTGGATTATGGTAGCTGGGTTCAGACAGCAAGGTTTGAATATGGATCGAGTGTGGGTTGTTGCCGATTTAACGAACCACAGTGAACAAGCCCCTGTTCATAACCCAGCAACAAACCACGCATTCTCTTCATGGGCTGTCTGTGGTTAACAAGCCATGGCTTGTCAGTGCAGCTGCGTTCAGAAGACACAGTCATCTGTTTCAACAACCACCCATGGGGGTTTTTTTGGCAATCCACATTTAATCCACACACAACCTTTGAGTGTGGGCGACTGGTGCCTGAACCCAGTCTGTGTGCATTAGAACCACCCAGCAGTGGTTTGGTCAGCACTTCTGACCACCCGGCAGTGTTTCGTCCAAGCATCAGAGATAAGAGTCTCCGTTTTGCACCTCGTGTGGCTACAGTGCTCCACAAGGTTAGAAGTCAGACTTGGCAGGTGGTGGACTCCATTCTGGGAAAAGAGCAAGAGAATCAGCTTGCAGAAATGTAAATAAAGCCCTACAGTGCCTTTTCTCTTTGGCAAGACTAATCATAGGATCTTAAAAGTGTATACTGTTAATTTATATTAATTTAAGGAAGTTTATTTATGGATGTGAGCCACCCCGAAGCTTCGGCGAATGGGGCGGCATAGAAGTCTCCTCAATAAAATAAAAATAAATAAAAGGCGTTTGTCCCAAAATGTGACCTCTTGGCTTCCGTGAGGCTTAAGCCCCAGAGCAGACAGCCTGCTCCCAATGCGCCATTCTCCTAATCATCAGGGACCACAACTCCCTGCCTTTGAGACCCATTGGACTGGCTGGGGCTGATGGGAGTTGGCGTGCTCAGCATCTACAAGGCGCCAGGTTGGGGGAAACGAGGGTGCCCTACCAAGCGCGTTTGGCATTGCGCCCAAGAGTGGCGCAAGTGCGAAAAGTGTGTGTGTGTGTGTAGGGGGGTGGCCCTGCCTAGCGGGCACAGGATCGCACCTGCCTAGCGGGCACAGGATCGCAAGGCGGCGGGAGGACGGCGCAGCCGTTCCCCGGGGCGCTCCATCCCGGGCAGCGGGGCGCCGCGGGGGTCCTCAGTGCCCCGTGGCTCGCAACGGCGCCCGCTCCGGGTCTCTGCGCCCGGGGGCCGGGCCTGCGGAGGGGGGGGGCGCCTACCTGTCTCCCTGCGCGGCGCGGCGCGGCGCAAAGTCCGGGCCGCGCGGCTTCCTGCGCGCCGCTCTCGCGCTTCCCCTCGCTCGGCCGTAGGAAGTAGACGAGCTGCCGCTTCCGTTCGTGCGTTTCAGGGCATCAGGAGGAGGAGAGGAGGAGGAGGAGGAGGGAGCGAGGAAGGCGGCGGCGGCGGCGGCTCCTCTTCCTCGCAGCCCAGTGGCCGCCGCGCGGAAGGACGCGACCGGGAGCCGCGGCCGGAGGGGCAGCGCAGCGGCGGGGTCGCGGAGCCGCTCTCCCGCCTCGCCCGGGCCGCGCCGCCGCCGCCGCCGCCCGCCCGCCGGGCG